GAAATGATGAATTTTCTGATTTCCAAACTCTCTTCCTAGCATCCTCAAGGTTATGGGGTGTGTTTTTGAAATCTCAACAAGAAGATTAAGTTTTAGATTTGGTGATGTTTTGGGTGATATATCAATGGATTTAGTGAAAGGCAAGAAAATGGAGGTTTATATCTCACTTTGTATTTTCTCTCAATTTTAACAAAACAAACTCTTTGTTTGATTAAAGCTTAGACGTCTCTCCAATAAAAAAATTCCACCCGTTTAATAGCTCTAATGGTCTTCTTATATAGGCAATTGAAGAAGGCTCTTTCAGTGGAGAAGGTAGAAGACAATGGTGGAAGACAATGTGTAATGAAGGTGGAAGACAATGTATAATATAGGATAAAGAGAATATATAATGGAGGATAAAGAGAGATAATTTGAACCTTGATTTATCTCTTCCTTTTTTGAAGAGACAAAATCCTTTTGGTAGTAGAGATTGATGTGTATGAAATTTGGTATGAAGAAATATCTGAAAAATGGACAGATGGACAAAATAAGTTTTCGAATGGATCTAAAATAATTTGGCCAAAATGGGTATCATGTTGGAATTAAAGCTTAAATACGATTTCTCTGCTGAGAAATTCATAAAATAGCATATTCTAATTTTTATCATCAGGTGTTCAAAAAAAAGCACCCAAGTCTTAAGGCCGGTCAAAATGGGATGTCTATAGCTTTGTTCTTCAATTTTTTAATATAAATTCAGACACTTCTGGCTCTGAAGCACTTTTCCCTCTTCAGGCTCTCATGGCTCTGGCTCTGAGGCTTAGAGGCTTGGTGACTTGGCTTAGTGGCTTGGCTGTAACTCTGCCCGCAATGCACTAAATAATTTATTTTGTTTTATTGGTTCTGGTTCGAGTAGTTTTTATCGACAAAGTTTGACTAGCTCGGACGACTTCGTTTTAGCTCCGATTTGCTTGATTTGTACGTCGTTGCAATCCTCTCAGTGAGTACTTCAATTTGGTATATTCAAAAATGGATTTTGAGAAAATTTATTTCTAGGCAAAGTTGGACTTTTCTCTATTCTTCTCTGTTTTGTAGAATTTCTACAATTTCAGGCTCTTTTGGCTTTGATAAATTCAAGCTCTTATGACTCTGATACCATTGTTGAAAATTATTTATGAAAATTTCTTTATATAAGCTTTGATACCATTGATGAGATATGGGAATAGGATAATTAGGAGAAAAAAAAGCACTCAATTTCAAAATCTGAATTTGAACACAAATACAAGAAGGCCATCAAAATGAAAATAATTTTCATGGCCGATGCGGAGTCCCTTTTTGACTCTGAAGATGATATTGTATTGGAAACCCTTCCTCCAATTCTCACTCAATCCAAGCGACCGACAATTTCTTTACCCAAAATATCTTCTCCCGTTAACTCTACAACATCATCACCAAAGATTCCCACTCAACACCTTGATGATGATTACTCTGACACGTGTCAAGGTGTAGACTTTAACAATTTGTGATCTATACAAACCCCATGTTATTGTAAGAACTTTAATAAAGATGATTCCCTCTGCATCAAATGACACTCTCCACTGACAATAACAAATGCAAGCCAACTCATAAAGTATAGCAATGCAATCAATGCTGCTTTCAAGGACAATAATATTCACAAAGGATAAAACTCCACCGACAGGGCAATTTTCAAAGGACAAAGCAAAAGACAAACAAAAGTAGATTCTTACCAAACTCTAATTCATTTCAATTCTGGGCTTCTAACTCTATAAAAACCAACCATTCTTTGAAGAAGGCAGGATTTCCCCAATATCAATGACTGTTGTGTAATATCATAGTGTAACTATATTGTGAGAAAATTTGGGTATGTAATTTGAGTGTGTTTAGAATTTGAATTTGATTGTGCTCACTGTGTGTCTGTACTTAGTGAATGTTGTGTCCAATCTGCTTTCACGATTGTGACCCATTGTAACTTTTCTTTTATTTTGTACTCTAGTTTCTCATTTCAATATAAACATTGTTTGTTATGCTTTTAATTTCTGATTTGCGTCTTGAAATTAATGATAGTATTCTATATATTGCCGACTTAAAAGAAAAACTAGCTAATCTACGATTACTCTTATCTCTTGAATCTGGTCAATCAATTATCAATTATTGTCAACGCATTGCTACAATTAAAAAGAAAATTAAAGATGAACAAACTAATTTAAAAGAACTTAGAAAACAATTATAATCTTTAATTTGTATCTAATCTATCACTAAGATTTAATACCCACGGTTATTTATAAACAAAAACAAATTTGTTTACTTCAAAAAGAGATTTCTTACAAAGTTGTTGACCACGAATTACAATAACCCATGTTAAATCTATTATTCAAAAAATCCAATCTTTATTTGAAAAAGATTTATGTTCCGAATTGCCTCATGCATTCTGGCATCGCAAACAACATATGGTTGATCTACCATACAAAAAAGATTTCAATGAAAGACTAATTCCTACTAAAGCTTGACCTATTCAAATAGACAAAAAATTAATGGAACATTGCAAACAAGAAATCAATGACCTCCTTAATAAAAAATTAATAAGACCCAGTAAATCTTCATGGTTGTGCCCTGCCTTTTATGTTAATAAAAATGTTGAATTAGAACGAGGCACACCTCGATTAGTTATTAATTATAAACCACGTAATAAGGTTTTACAATGGATCCGATATCCAATTCCCAATAAAAAAAGACTTGTTAAACTGTCTATATGACGTAAAAATATTCTCAAAATTTGACATGAAATCTGGTTTTTGGCAAGTTCAAATTACTGAGAAAGACAAATACAAAACTGCCTTCACTGTTCCCTTTGGCCACTATGAATGGAATGTTAAACTTCTTGTCTCTATAAACCCTAACCATTAAACCCTTCATTGCAGTCATTTGCTTCACCACATGCCCTCATTAGAGGCAGAGGTACAACATATCAACTTGATATAGTAGTGAAACTATATGTATGTTCAGGTACTATTAGTTCTTCATTTTCAGTTATGTGATTTCCTTAGTTCAATGCTATTTTTTTCGCTAGTTAATTAGTCTCCAATGTTAATTGTGTTCATTGTTTGTGTATCCAGATTGTTACCAACCTACAAATGTAGGCATTTTCCACAATATTTTCTCTTTCTTGGAACCCATCACCAATCATATTCCAGCACAGCAAATTGTGCGCAAATTTTATCCAATGGCACAGAGAAAAAGTGCAAAGAGATTGATTTCGAGTTGCTATTCCAGTCATGCACCAAAACCCACCTTGCTAAGCGCCTTTATGCCCTTCTTATTGTGTCAGGGAAAGTTCAAAGATTCTTCGTTTCTACTAGAGTTGTCAATCTTTATGCATTCTTAGGGATGTTACTTATTCTCACCGCACTTTCGATCAGATCCCAAAAAAGGATGCTTATACCTGGAATTCAATGTTATCCTCCTATGTTCGCAATAATCGCTTCCATGATGCTGTCAATTGCTTGTACAAAATGTTATTGAACTCTGAAGTTAGGCCTGATTTTTATACTTTTCCTCCTGTGTTGAAAGCTTGTGGTAATTTATTTGATGGGAAGAAGATACATTGCTGGGTCTTTAAATTGGGTTTTGAATGGGATGTCTTTGTGGCTGCTTCTTTGGTGCATATGTATTGTCGCTTTGGCTATCTCGCTGCTGCCCATAAAATATTTAGTGATATGCCATTCAGAGATGGGGGTTCTTGGAACGCTATGATTTCTGGGTTTTGTCAAAATGGGAATGTTTCAGAGGCATTGGGTGTTTTGGATGAGATGAGATTCGACGGGATGAAGATGGATTGTGTCACTGTTTCAACCGTTCTTCCTGCTTGTGCACAAATGGATGATATTTTGCATGGAATGCTGATTCATTTATATGTCATAAAGCATGGGTTGGAGTTTGATGTGTTTGTGTCCAATGCATTGATTAACATGTATGCCAAATTTGGAAACATCCGGCAAGCACAGAAGGTTTTTGATCAGATGTTCGTTAGAGATTTGGTGTCATGGAACTCAATAATTGCTGCATATGAGCAGAATGCTCATCCTGACACTGCACTTGAGTTCTTTGGTGAGATGCAGTCAAATGGAATTCAGCCTGATGTGTTGACACTAGTGAGCTTGGCTTCCAGTGTTGCTCAGTCTGGGGATTGCCGAAGTGGCAGGTCTGTTCATGGTTTCGTCACGAGGAGATGTTGGATTTTGGAAGATGTTGTTATTGGAAATGCTGTCTTGGACATGTATGCAAAGTTGGGTATTATTGATTCAGCATATAGAGTTTTTGAAGAAATTTCTTTAAAGGATGTGGTTTCATGGAACACGATGATTACAGGTTATGGTCAAAATGGTCTTGCAAGTGAGGCTATTGAAGTATTCTGCATGATGGAAGTGTGCGAGGATGTAACGCCAAACCAAGGGACTTGGGTAAGCATTTTACCAGCTTACTCTCACCTAGGAGCCTTGAAATTGGGTATGAGAACTCACGGGCGTATTTTAAAAGCCAGTCTTCACTTGGATATCTATGTCAGTACTTGCCTCATTGACCTGTATGGAAAATGTGGGAGATTAGACGATGCAATGTCCTTGTTCTATGAAGTACCCAGGATGAGTTCAGTTCCGTGGAACGCCATAATATCGTGTCATGGGATTCACGGACACGGTGAGACTTCTTTGCAGCTATTTCAAGCTATGCAGGACGAGGGGGTGAAGCCTGATCATGTAACTTTTGTATCCTTATTGTCAGCTTGTAGCCATTCGGGCTTAGTTGATCAGGGTCAGTGGTGCTTTCGTGTGATGCAGGAAGAGTATGGAATCAAACCTAGTTTGAAGCATTATGGCTGCATGGTAGACCTGCTTGGTAGAGCTGGATACCTAGAAAAGGCATATAGTTTTGTCAAGAATATACCTTTACGGCCTGATGCTTCGGTTTGGGGTGCTCTTCTCGGAGCTTGTCGAATCCATGGAGATGTTGAGCTGGGAAAATTCGCTTCAGAACGCTTGTTTGAAGTTGATTCGGAAAATGTTGGGTACTATGTTTTACTATCGAATATATATGCAAATGTCGGAAAGTGGGAAGGTGCGGACGAAGTGAGATCATTAGCTAGAGACCGTGGATTGAAGAAGACACCAGGGTGGAGCTCAATTGAACTGAACAACAGGATTGAAGTCTTTTATACCGGGAACCAATCCCATCCACATTGTGAGGAGATCTACAAGGAGTTGGAGATTTTGACGGCTAAGATTAAGACCGTTGGTTATATTCCGGACTGTAGCTTTGTGCTGCAGGATGTCGAGGAGGATGAAAAAGAGTATATCCTTAGGAGTCATAGTGAGAGATTGGCTATCACATATGGAATTATCAGCACCCCTCCTAAGAGTCCAATTCGGATATTCAAGAACTTGCGCGTTTGTGGGGATTGCCACAATGTGACTAAATTCATATCAAAGATTACAGAGAGGGAGATTATTGTGAGGGATTCGAACCGCTTCCATCACTTCAAGGATGGCGTTTGTTCTTGTGGGGATTATTGGTGACATGGAATATTGATATTATCATTCATAAAATTGAGAGTTTGGATCACTAGCTTTGTCTTTCAACCATTCAAGGTGAGAGCATCAACCATGAAGAGAACTGAACTCTGATTTGTTATGCTCAGCTTGCACAAGAACATGTACACTTATATATGAGCTACTTTCACAAATCCTAATCCCATCAGTTTTGTATCACTTTTTTTGTTACTTTTCTTTTAACCATTCTATTTTGAACATCAAATTAGAAGACTGAACTGTAATTTGAATCCAGTTAGCATTGAACTTTTATGCTTTGTTCGTTTCGGCAGAAAACATTTTCTAACGGTAAACTTGTCCTGACTTCCAATTTCCCTCTTCTGAAATTAGATATTGATTATATTGACATAATACTTTAAAAAAATCAAAAAATTGTGCTGTGCAAATTATTATAATGATTTAGTTCAAAAATTTTATCTCACTCTTTCTGTGTTCAAATTGTTGCTGTTTCTTTTTTCATTTTGTTGGGTCTCAGTTTATTCAAGTTCTTGTCTTTTGAAATGTTAAGCAGTTTGTAATTAAAATGTGTTTGAATGGCTAATAAGCTCTTGCTATTTAGGGTAAACATTGTTTTATTCACCATGTAAAGTTTAGGATTCTGACCATTTTCATTGTGGTACAAGAAAAAGAATCTGTTGTGGCACTTTATTTGCGGCATTTATGAAAATGCCAGTATTGGCTGACCTATGATGACTTTTTCAAAACGCTGTCTTATGGTGTGAACTAAACGATATCGTTTCAACCTTTAATCGAGGAGACACTGTTACTTTACAATACCCCGTTACATATACATCTCTTTCAAAACACTACTTCATGCTCCCTGGAATCGCGTCTCTCACGCGCTCTCTCTCTCTCTCTCTCTGTTCATTAGCATCAGAATTGCGTCTCAGTCAGTTCTGAATCAATCTGTCCTTCAATATTCAAAGCCTCTCGAGCTCAAAGAAGAGTCGATTTTGAAGACTAATAGAGTTCAGATCTGTGCTTCTCTCTATTCGATGTAGGGCTCTTAGATCTGGCTGAGTTTAATTTGGATTTGACTGCTTTGGATCTAGATCTAGGGTTCATCTACTAGGTATGAGGTTCTGATTTGTATTGGGTTGTTTTCACTTGTAATCTGGTTTCATGTTGGATTTGATACTTTGATTAGTTTGTATTCTTTCAAGTTTGTTCAAATCATTTGCACTATTGTTTATGATTTCGATTTTAATTGATGTAGGGCTCTTAGATCCTGTGTTTGATTTGGATATAACTTATTTGGATTCCAGGGTTCTTGTTCTTGTTCGATTTGAGTGATTTCGATTTCAATTTCAATTTCAATTTCAATTTCATTTTTGATTTGAGGTCAATGTTGGAGCCATTAGTTTTCTTTTAGTTTCCTGTAAAACTTGTATTGTTTGGTTATGCTGCATGATTTCTTTGGGAAAGATGACATAGAAGTTAGCTATGGAACTATTTGTGCTATGGATGCTCTGGTTGCTGTTTCATTTAACACATTAGTGTGAAGCAAGTGTATAATAAGTTAATTGTGCTGTTTCAGTTTCAGTGTGCATCATTTGGAACAATCTTTCTTTCTTTCATTTTTTTTTTAAATAAACAATAAAAAAATAAAATGAGGTGATGTATTTGATTGTATAAATCTTGTAGTTTCATTATTAGATTTCATGAGCAATCAATGTGCATCCCCGTTAACTTATTTCTAGCATTTTAATTGTTGCTGTACATAACATCCTCTTCTGTTTTTTTGTGGTAGTTTGGTATGTGTTCTATGTTATGCTTCTTTAGAGATTTTTTTTCTACTTTTCATTGCATTGCATTGCATCCCTGTTTCCTTTTGTTTGTACCCAATTATTTATTTATTTTTATTTTTTTGTACATTTGAATTTATTTTTTATGATGTATTACAAGAAATTATTAGGCTTTTATTGGGGTGTGTGTTTTACAGTTGTTTAGCTGGTTCCACTTCATTTGGGTCCTTTTCTTCCCTTTTTAAATTTATTTATTTATTTTTTTTTGGTGAGCTTATTAAAGATTCTAGCCTTAAGTTAAAAATATGTGTAATGGTTATAGACAGTGGGATGTTTGGCTCAAAACAGGAAGCATCAAAGAAAGAGAGAGAAGGTGTGGGCCAGTTAAAAAAACTGGACTGAATATCCAGTTTACAGAGAGAAGCCCATCTCATTTAAAAAATGTCATATAATCACAATATACTAAGTATATTTTTTGTGTAACTTTTCAGTTATTTATTTTTTAATTTTTAGTCCTCTCTACCTAAGATAAGATAGCCATTACGTAGAACCATAGGATGGATAGCCGAAAGGAAAATACAACAATGTCACTCAGCTGTTCCATAAATTTTACCTGTTTGCTACTGATATAAATTTTCTATCTTGTAAATGAATGATTTATCACATCCATTATTGCCACAGTAGTAGCTGTAGCTATATTGTTTTCATGCCTATCAGTAAGTCTATGGAGATTTAGAAAATGTTAATGCATATACATAGTAATACATAGTAAGTCTATGGAGATTTAGCATTGTTTTCTATGATTTGTATTTGTTCATTTTTCATTTTGCTTCCTTACATTATCTTTCTTGACAAAGGAGTGGTATAATATTTCTTTACTTGCCTTGTTTTTTTTTAGTAATTTCTGATCTCTCTAGTCTGTTCCATGCTGGTTCATGAATCATGACTTCTGTATGTAGTCACTTTGTGCACACACAAACATACACTGCAGAGAACTAAAATAAATGTAGCCTTTTTGACATGCTATGCAAGAGGACATAGATTTTCCAACTATACAAGTTTATTGAAGTTGTGTTAATAAAATTAGTTGTTACCCTTTCCGTTGTTTCAAACTTGCGGGTTGATGGCTTCATTCAACTTACGGAAAGAAATGAGACTAGGCCAATCAACTTTGGCAATCTAGGTAAAAATTGGATTATTTTTATCATTAATGCTTAATCAGCCATGGAACATTTGGGCCACTTTTCAGGACTAATGCAACCTCAAATTAGTAGTAAAGATACTAGAGTCCTTTTAAGATTGTTTGACCTTTTATGTTACGATGTTAATACATTGTTTAAGTGAGATACACTATGCTTGACCCTAACAGCTTAAATGAGACTTAAAATCTTATGGTGCAGGAGAAAATTATGGGCCTATAAACGTGAGGTAAAACAGGGTGTTACCAGAAGATCAAGAAACTTAGAACTCAAGATAGCACATTAGATACAGGCCTAACTTGGAGATTGTAGGAATAAAAAATAAGCATGTTTGGATTATCCCTTGAGCCAATTTTTTGAGTTGCTCATAACCAAAATTGAATTAATGATTTATGCGTAGGGGGGTTATCAAAGTTCCCAAAAATTTTGTGTTTTCTCAGCTCTTCAATATGTAGATTATTTTTATTTCTTTGATTGTGTAGTAGTTGGTTTGATAGTTGAAAACCAAAATGTTAACCATGAGGTACTTCTTTCACATTAATCACTTCCTTTTCTATCCTTATTTTGTTTTTTTGAGTTTTGATTTGCTGTTTGGTGTGTTGTTGCTCTTAAGTTTTCTATCTTAATGATTTTTTTTCTAATAAAAGAGTGTTATTTTGTGCTGTTGTGAACTTCATTTCACTATGTTATTGCTGTTCTTTTCTACTTGTAATTTCATTTTTGTAGTTATTATTTCATTTTGTTGGTTGTTCAAGATGATCTTGCTTCATTAGACGTTACATGATCAAATGAAGATTAGTTTTCTTAATTTTGTTTTTAATAGTCATATTAGCTGAATGAGTTGATTAAGGTTATGGTACTCCTTAAATGATGATAGAGTCAAGGCTAGGGTTTATTTTTGGATTGCCCTTTTGTTTGATCAGTTATATATGGTCAGATTGCAAAAGCTTTTGATCTTTTTCGAATTGCCATTTACAGAAAACAGTTCTTTTCTTCAGAGACTAAATTAAACCAATGAAGTTTTCACTCTTAAGGAAAACACAAATCCATCACCGTTCTCCTCCTTTACTACTCTCCTTTTTAGAAGCTTCACGACCTAACAAATTCTTCATAACAAACTCTTTAAAAAATTCTTCTTAACCTCCTAAAAAACCTTTAAATTCTATTGGTTGATATGTGCCCCCTGATGTCCAGCTTGTCTTCTCTAATAATTAATTAACCGTGACACTCTTTGAACTAAACTTACTCTTATAAGCTGCCAACTCATCAATACATACATTTTGTTTGGACCTATCCTCTTATTCTTGATTGCCTTCTCAGCAATTCTGTGTGACAACAGGGTTATGATTTTCTTTCCTTTTCGCAGCTGCTTGGGTATATGGTTTCCTCTTTTCAGGTTTTAATTATTTGTTTGTAGATTTTTTTTTTCTTGAATTGTTTGTTTTGTATGCTTTGCCTAAGCTTACAATGCTTTGGTTGTCGTTTGCTTTGGCATATATCTTCAGTTTGTTAACTTTTGAGGCTTTTGGTTCTACTTATAACTCCTTTCAATTTTGTGTCAATTCATCTTGGAGAGTAAATTCATTATGCTCACGAGTTAGGACATGTATATGGTAAAAGACTTTAAAAACAATGCCCAATTAGTACATATTAATGTGTGTATATGGTAAAAAACTTGTGTTTGATAATTCATTTGTTGATTGTATGTTCACTATGATGAGATGAAGAAAAAAATTAAACTCTGTATTGTATTTGATTTTGTATTGTTTTGTGTATTCTCTTTGAATATAGATTTAGAATCAGATCAATAACTTTTGTTTGGATATGATTTTGGTTCGTACATTGGTTGTTGTTACCCTTCTTTACCAAAGAGTCGTCTTCATTCATAAAGATACTTTCTGAATCCTATTGATGTGGCAAGTTCACACCAATGGTATTAATTCATCATGGCCAAAACCTTACCCCAATGACCACCAATTTTGAGGAAGGTTTCTTTATTCCACGCATTCAGGGGTGTGCCTTCAATAACAATCCAAACTCACATTGATAAAGAAAACTCTCTGTAACTCCAGTTATAGACCACATCAAATCATTTCTAGCCAGCCGCTTCCCCCTTGGAGCATTGCCTGCTTATCTTTTCAGAGTTAATTTGAAGCAACACTTCAAAGCTTTTCTGATCTTCAAGGAATGACCTCTCCACCGAACCCCATCAAACGTTGAGATAGCATCAAGGGCTTCTACTGCACTTTGAAATCTTACAAACGCAAAAATAGAGTTGCTCTGCTTCCTTCTTTTTACTGCTATGAAAGCATCCACCACTCTTCCACATCTATTGAAGACTCTTCTCAGCCACCAGTTATAAATCT